GCTAATAATGCAAAAAGCGAAGAAACTAGACAAACTATTCAAGTAAAATATAGGGAATTACTTGAAGAGCAAGTAAAACTAGACGACCAAATGATAATTGATGAGAATATAGAATCACAATTATCAAGAGAACAATCAAATATTCGAGGAAGAAAACTACAAAGATTACAATTACCAAAAGAAGATTATAGAGAGGAATATAGATTTCCGGGATCACCAAGATCACTGAAATCATCAGAGAATGATGATAAAAGCTCTATAAAAACTCAAGAATCTAGTCAAACACTAGATAGTAATCTGTCCCAAACACAAAAATGGTCATCAAGAATAGGAAAAGGAATAGCGAAAACGCTTGAACCTTTATCGCCTAAAAATTGGAATATGAAAACCTTCACAGGAAACTCACCGCATTTACATAGCCCTAAAAGACCATCAAGTCTGAGAAACTTAGTAGACTATATAAATAGTCTAATAATTAATGAAAATAATGCTATTGGACTAGATGGAAACCAGATAAGAATTGATAAACCATCAATAATAATTAGAAGCGATACGCCAATAAAAGAAGAATATTGGCCTAACAGAAACCTTAAACATGACAGAACGAGTACACCGTCACCATTACCATGGAATAAACATTATAAACAATATACACCATCAGTCACAAATACTGAACATAGTGAACAACAGGAACAAGAAATATCTCGCAATATTGAAAGAGCCTTCAATGAAGAAATACAACAACCCATACCAGTACAATCAAGCTTTAAAGGAAGACAGTACACAACATATATACGATAAAATTAAGAGAGGAGAACTAATGCTTAGCCCTTATACGATGTGGAAAATAAAGCTTGAACCTACAGACAAAGCTGATTTTAGTGAACTAAATAAATATAAAAAAGAAGTAGACTTAGAGTTAGTAGGACGTGGGAAATATATAAGAGATAGAAAAGGTAGCGATGATTTGAATCTCATGGTGGAAGACTACTATAAAGAATATAAAATCGATATTTTTTAAAATAATTTATAGAAATAATAATGTATTAGGGATAAATATCAATTAGCTTATTACAACCTTAAAAAAATTGTAGTTCATAACTTCTACTGTTTTCTTATTCATTATTAGTAGTTTATGTATTATTATATATTTTTAAGATTTTTTCCTTAATAAGGTTTTTTTTATCTTAATTATATATATTAATATTTTATATTTAAATTAACGTTTTTATAATTTATAAACATCATTTATCCTAGTTGAACGGATTAAATAGATATATAAACAGTGATGTAACTCTCTTTTAGATATATAGGATTAAAATATGTCGGAAATGTGCCAGAATTCAAAATTTGATTAGCAAAAATATTTTAAACTGATCAAATGTACTTGTCATTAAGATAAATAAGATACAGAAATATAGTTTATTATGTCAAAGAAAAATTTTTAAATATCATATTATATGTAGGAAAATAAAATGAGTTTATCATTCCGGTCAACAAACTTTTTGCCGCAATCTTTTTTTTTTTTTTGTTTGCACTGGCTTATCAAACTTTATAACTATTAAAGTAAATAGAATTATTGTTTAAGCAGTTTCATACTTTTTGCTATTGGACATTTGTTATTGACACTAACGTATTACCATTATGTTTTATTATTATTATTATTATTAAAAAAATAATTCTTTTCAGTGACATTATTTTAATATCCTTAACAGGTTGTATAGCAATAAAGGTAATAGAAGTAACTGAGTATTTGCAAAATTTTTAATGACATTTAATAAAATCTATAATAGCTATTCAAGCATTGATTGAGGTCTTTATTTTGATCCATCGTAGCAATTGAGCGTAACAAATCACAATAATGGGAAGTTTCAGAATTAATGGTCAGATATCTGATTTTAATGACAAATTTGTTTCAAATAAATGATCTACGGTATAAACACTATTTTTTAGAATATAAACTAGGAGCATGAGGGAGTTAGAGGCACATTTAATATAATTACACCTCTATATAAGCACTTAATTTTGTTAAATAAACTCCTATAAATACAGTCAAACCCCTCTACAGTAACTCCCTCGGTTCCAAGAATTCTGTGCTTATAAGAAATTGTGCCTGTTGTATATAAGTTTGTTCTAAAAATTAATGTGCTTATAAAGAGGGTGTGACTATTTGGAGAGTGACTGTATAGAGGGCAGACTGTACTACTATTCAAAATACATCGAGCTAATAGTGCCAGATATCAAACATCATTGAATGATTTTAACATAAATGATGTGTGGCATATATTAATAGGGTTGTGCGTTGATTAAGAAGATTCAGGTGCGAATTTTACTTCTTGTAAACTGTAGCATATTTATATCTTATCGTTATGCTTGTTTCTGAAATGAGGTTATGATTAGTATGTAATTAGATCAAGTTCTAAATTAAGCAGCTAATTAATTATACTTACTGTATAGTCGCAAAATAACGTTATTTTATAAATCAGGTGCTTCAAAAAATTACTTATATGGTCTTGAATTAGCGTTCATGAGCGTCTCGAATTAACGCGCATCCTAATATAACACATAATTTATAGCTGTGATAATTATTCTATAAGTGCATCTCACATACACTTTTCCTATAATGATAAGTGCTCATAATTTTATCAGTCTAATATAATTATTTAATGTTATATGTAGATTTATTCTCCATAAATAAACGAGCAACTGCGCGATATTGTCGTCTAAACCAGGAACGGATATATTATAAGCCTAATTTAGAAAATATTAACCAACTCCAATATAGAATAATTATATATAGTTTTAAATTCAGATAAATAAAATACCGAGTATACGGCATAACTATATTGATATGAGACACTACAATTTAAATAAATATTTGAAGATTTTTAGATGTATATAGTATAGAATGCCTTTAAAATATATAATATACCAAACCACTATAGTTTTCTAATCTAACCCTAACAATGTATAATGCCAAATAGATATTAAGAATAGGTGCATTTAGAGCTTACTAATTTACTATTCGAATAATATTCGAATAATTTAGATTAACAAACATTTATTCGAATATTCGCTGAATGACTAATACTATTCGAATAAATATAGGTATTCGAATAAATTCGAATAGTATTAGTCATTCGAATAACTATATTTAATCGAATAAAAATTATTATTCAAATAACAAATGCTTAGAA